GCCACTGTAACGGGGGCTAATTCATAGTGTACTGAACTTCAGACAAGTCAAGAAAGTGGCGAATATGTATATATGTATATATATTTTTAATGAGCCGAATGCCGATACCAAAGCTAAACCAAGTTTTGCTAAAACTGCCAAGCGTATGTGGACATGTGTTGTTCCCAAAAGCTATCAAACAAAAGTATTCCTTTTATGCGAGAAAAATTACGGTGAAAGTGGTCGCCTTACAGGACTCGAAGCTAATTTAATAAACAAACAATCACCTTTATCTCAGTTTCTTTTTAGGTAGACTTGGCTTATTTGGAATATACTCCTCATTAACACATCACTACCCCGTAAAGTCATGCTGCAGGTATGACAACTGTGCAATGCCAGGACAAGGTGCCAATAGATTACGTTCAAATAGCTTATTTTTGTCCAAAGACTATTGTTGGCTCTTAGAAACATGTATATTTGCACAATTATTATCCTATTTTAGCACTGGCACCGAAACACCACTGTAGACTGAGGCCTCCTTCTGCATGTTTGGAACCTGCTGCGGCGGACGCTACGCAACCAGACTTGTCACTTGTGCTCTCCAAGCGCGTTCACACCGGCGAGGAGATCTAGTCGTGCGATAACTTTCAGCGCAAAAGCGACCATCGCAGGCAAAAAGCGACGCGATTTGAGCAGTCGCTCGCTGACCCGACTTCTTGCGATGCGATCTAGTCGCGGAGCGACTGAGCCAATCAACGGCGTTCGGAGCGAGAGTTTTCGAGAAACGACTCGTCAACGAAGGCGTTGGACTCGCTCATCGCGGACGCCGGTGTGACCATCTAATTTTTTTGTGATGCGATCTAGTCGCATCGCGCGACTGCTTACATCGCCGGTTCAAGGCGGCATATTGTTGATGATGTTACATTAGTTCGATGGTTGTTTTTATACTCCGTTTCACCTTATGTTGTACCGCAGCGAAGGCTAGAAGCGCGAGCTCATAGCCTTGGCAGCTGCCCTTGGTGCACAAGAGCTTGTGCCACCGAGATGTGCCATAGAGCAAGGAGCTCGCGCTTGTAGCTTTTCCTGCGGTACAACACAAGGTGAAACAGAGTATAGCAGTCGTTTTCTTGCTCACCTGATTCTTGGCATGTACAGCTCCCTTCGCCTCACGAAATGGGGTGTTGTGCTCGAGCCTTGTAAGTTGTACCTTGTAACTTGTAACTTCGGTCTTTCTCTCTTTAACTGGGCATTTGGCTGCATTAGAGGCGTGGTCCCCTTTGCAGTTCACACATTAGGCCGCCTTCGCACATGGCTTCATGTCTCTTTCCACATCGACGGCACACTGGGAATTCTGTCGTGCATGCAGCTGCTATGTGGCCGAACTTGTAGCATCTGTAGCATTGCGAAAGGCGTGCTCGGTAGGGGATATATTCGTTCTAACGAGACGCACTTCGACATGTTGAGGTGTCTGTTGCCCTGCGAGGGCCACTCTTACAACGGGCGATGTTTTGCGAAATCGTTTCACTTCCACTATGCCGATGAAGGACTGCAGCTGTGTCTTTACGTCTTTTTCAGTACAATCGGGGTTAAATATCGCGGAGGACGCCAAAGCAGCTTGTGCGGTTTGTCGGTAGATAGGCTCTCACAGGAATGGTATAGAGCTTGGTGAGCTTGAGGAGCTCGGCTTTAAATGCAGGTCGTTTTACATCGACTGTAAGACTTTTCTGTGCTTTGTTCACCCGAACAACACAAAAGTGACCATGCCTGGCGCAGCGTTGTTCAGGAAGTCAGAGAGTGAATTTCTCAGTTAATCAACTTTCCGGTGGTCGATGGGGACGTACAGTATGGTGCACCCGACTTGAAGGTTAATTCCGTCTTTGGAAGCTGGTGCTAGGCTCTGGCACGTCTTGCGGCTCTTCTTTTCATGAACGGTCTCGTAATCACCGTCGTCGGATTTCATACCGTCATCGTCGAGGATGGATACGATCGTCGATGAGGAGCTGCTGGCGGTTTCGGCGATAGTTGCCCTCAAAGGAATTTCGTATCCGTCTTTCACGAGCGTGGCTAAACTTGCTTGTACAGAGCGCGACAGTGATAGCGTGATCAAGCGATCGCCCGGTTTTTCCAGTTTTTCTCTTTGAAACCAAGGGATGTCATCCAAGTTATTATTGCTACGGAAAGTGCTCATTTAGTTCTATAATGTAAGTGATAAAATTTCGCGCTCGCTAATACTATTTAGAAGTAAAACGCGAAAATGCGCCGATGTAGTGTTCGCGCTAACAGTGTCGTGATGTGTACGTTGTTCTTTGTCAAATTCGAGGTCGATCGATCGGTGGTTTCAATGCCGTGTCGGACATTTTGGAGAATGTCCTTGGACCCTATGTTGCGCTTTTTGGACTCCCATGGCGACTAGGGAGAGGGAAGTTACGTCAACAACGCAGCAAACGCAGATTGGATGTTTATTGGTGAGAGTCGCTGATGATGAATTTACGCAGAAGAAAAAACAAAACAAAAAAACGTGAGCTTTGTTTTCTTCTGGGGAAATTCGTCATCGGCAACTCTCACCAATCAACATCCAATCTGCATTTGCAGCGTTGTTAACGCCACTTCCCTTTCCCTAGTCGCCGTGGGAGTCCAAAAAGAGAAACATAGGGCCCCTGGCCTCCCCGAAGGAGTCCCCTTTTGTGCGGAGATCGGATGCCCCTGTTGTGGTAGGTATCCTCAGAATATCAGGTCGCAAGATCATTATTTGCCGGTATTTAGATATAAATCAGGAGACACAAATAGGGCTACCCGTAGCTGTGTCGTCGTTGTCATCTTTTCCTGTCGTCTGCTTCTTGCTCGGCGCATATTCATTCGCCGCGCAGTAACACTTTGCAGAGCGGCGTTCGCGTCTATGATTGGCACACGAGACCTGTAGCTTCCACTGCACTGCAAAGTTTTAGTGGGAGAGAGTATATACGCTTTACAGACGCACCAAATTACAGCCGCCATTGCTGACCTTCTCTTGTCTTACCGAGATGCCGAGCAACTGAAACGGTAGCTGACGATCCTCTACAAAGCCCGATGCTTTAGAAAAGGACACAGTTGAATCTAATATGGCAATAACCTGGCCTGCTATGGTAATGATGAAGTGAAATAAACGGAATAAGAGGAAACAAAAACTGAAGGTCAGTTATGGCGACGTCCATGCACAGCTGCTGCAAAGCGTAAACAGACCTTTCGAATACCAAACCGAGCGTCATCTCGTGCCTGTTCTTTGCCAGCGTACTTCTCTTTCGTCTTCAAATAAACCCCTTACGAAAGTAACGTGCTCATTGTTAAAAGGTCTGAAACACTGCACAATGGCAGAACAAGCCACACCAGAAAGTGTGAGATTCTAAGACTGCATAAGCTAGAATTGAAGTTTCATTAGTAGAGTTTCTTAGGTTCCAACATTGGCGGTGTCTTTTGTGTCCGCCATTGTGCAGGAATTCCACAGCTTCCAACAGAGGGCACACTTTCTAAATGGGTTTATAAGCTGGTAGCGGCGCCGGTGCCGATAAAATAAAGAAAGAAGATCATCGCAGGGAAGCGAAGACGCCGCAGATAGTGAGCACTTCATCAGTACCCGTTCATAAACGAGAGAGGATTCAATCGGCCATCATATTTTGCACGCAGGGCAGCCCATCCTGCTTCGTAATAACATGCAGGGCAACTATAATGGATCTGAAGGTTCAAGCCTCACACCAACCATGAACGTGAGTCGGACTTCTATGGACCGATGCCTGACCAGTACGGCTCAAAGCAGCAACTCTCGAGATTCGCTGCAAAGGGGCAGTTTGGTATCTGAGACCCATTCTGAGCAGGACAGTTGGACCTCCCACATTCGCTATGCCGGGAAGGGGTTACCTTGCAAAGACTCTCCTTTCAGCAAGTCGTGGCCACCCACTCCTGAACTACTGTCTCCGTTAAAATCGATTTCATTTCCGAGCCTAGCGAAGAGGAGCGGTGGCCTGCTCAGACGATCGCCATCTTTGAGCAAGCTGACTGACATGGGAGCGTCAAGAACTAACGTCAGTTCCCTTATCCTTCCCAACGACCCTTCGTCCATTGATTCGACGCTCAGACAGAGACCAGCTTGCGAAGAATCCTCTTTGAGCAAACCAAGACCTGCCACTCTGGAACCACCATCTACATTCAGTGGGAAGTCACTTCTGAGCGTCTCGGAAAGTGCATTGCTCAACCGATCGCCATCACTGAGCAAGCTGACGGACATGGGAGCAGCGGAAACAAACACCGGTTCCTTTTTCTCCGACGTCCCTTCGTCCGGTGATTCGACGCTGCGCAGACAGTGGCCAGCTTGCAAAGACTCCTTTTCAAGCAAACCGTGGCCTGCCACTCTTGAAACACCACCTCAATTCAAAAGGAATTCAGTTCGGAGTTATTCGAAGTGGAGTATCAGCCGATTGTCATCCTTGAGCAAGAAGACCGACATAAAAGCAACGCAGACGAACGACAGTTTCCTTTTCTCCAACAGCGTCTCTTCATCTCTTGGTTCAACGTTGAGCAGGCAGGGGACCGTTGAGTTGGCAGGTTCTTATCGAATTTCACAAACAACCTCGGCATTTAAGAAACCAATAACTCCTCCATTGGTGCGAAAACTGAGGCGGAACCCATGGATTATCTCGTGCAAGCTGGAAATTCCGTGGAGCGACGAGGAAAGCGGTCACGCAAAGCAGCCCCAGAGTCGCTACAACACTCCATGCAAGACTAAATACAAGAGCAGTTCCTATAATGAGGCACCCCAGAGGCCAGCTGTGAGGTTGCCCACCAACAGGCGGAACCCAATAAGCACTTTGTATACGGGTCGGGGAACCAGCAAAACCGAAAAGCCGGAGACTAAGAAACCTCCGGAAAAGTTTGGCCCCTTTAAGAAAGAGGAAATGTCATCAGCCTCGGAGAGATCCACGCGGCCCTCAAAAACACAATTTGTGCAAGGCAAAAGCTGTTCTTCAACTAGCTACAAAGCTGACCCAGTGATGCTCGCAAAATGCCCCAAGCCAAAGGAGGACAAGATATCAGTGATCCAAGTGAACGGACGAACTTACCACACGCTCGAACTGGTTAGCAAAAGGGGACCTAGCAAGGTGTTCATGGTGCTGGGTGAGCACCAGGGGCTAAGAGCGGTGCAGCTGATCAGTCTTGAAGGCGTTGAACCTAAGGTCACCGTGGCGTTGCTGTGCCAGGTCAGGACCTTGAAGATGCTGCGCGACTGCAGGCGCGTTGTCATCCTTTATGATTTCGAGTACGACCACGAGAGGAGTCTTCTTAAGCTGGTGATGGAGGCTGGGGTCAACGACCTGACATCGGTGATTCGCTCTCGCATGAAGGAGTCCCTTAACATCCTGGCGGTCAAGTTCTACTGGTCAGAGATGCTCCAAGCCGTGCTCGAAATCCACAACAAGGGAGTCATTCCCTCTAACCTGGAGCCAGCCAGATTCCTGTTTGTCAATGGAAAGCTGAAATTGATTGGTTTTTGCATTGCAGACCTCATGCAGGCTGACACAACCAGCGTCATGGAGGAATCGCCAATTAACTCCCTGAATTTCATGTCCCCGGAATCTATCACCAGGATGCCTGGACATGGCACCGGCGACTGGGAGCTGATCAGCACGCGGCCGTACATCTGGTCCCTGGGGTGCATCTTGTACAGCCTGGTGTACGGCCACGCACTCTTCCAGCACATAGTGGCACGGGACGACAAGCTACGTGCCATCATCAACTCGAAGTACACCATCCCGTTTTATCCCTTGGTCAGTCCCAGCCTCCTAGACGTCCTGAAGCAATGTCTGCGGCGGAATGTCAGGGAAAGGCCCACAATCAACGAACTACTTCGACATCCTTTCCTGGCCGAAAATCACGGCCTGTTGAAGCCCTGGAGAAATTAAAATCGGAAGTCAATGTTCAGCGAGATTAAGAACATGTCTCCGGACAGCGTGAAGAAAGTGGAAGAGATGGTCAGGTTGCTGAAACTCGGCAAGAAAAAACTGCAAGGCTAATTGCTGTTCCCGTTGTGCAACAAGCACCATCCGCGGTTGAATAAAGTTCACTGTTTGGATACTCATGTGATACTTTTATTAATGCGTTAGAATTAGTACCCACGTGACAGGGAAAAACTGGCGGCGTCTCTCTGTGGACAAAACAGTGGAAAAGGAAGCGCGCCGCGTAGAGAGGAGAAGAGTAGTGAAGGACAAAGGCGAGAGGGAAACGACGTCACGGGACGAAAGCCAATGCGCGCGCAGATGCTGGGGCGAGTCTAAACTTGCAGGTATGAGAGCGCGCATGTCTTGGTTTGTGCTACAAAAATCAAAGGAAGATCAATTGGTGGATCCTTGGGGAATGCGTTAGCATGACCCTAGGGAAAGGCCACACACGTCCCCCTTTAGGAAACGCTAACACTGACCCCGTAACGAAGCCAAAAAAGGATGCAGAAAATAGAGGAAGCAAAAGAGAAAGGCAAAACAGAAAAGTGAAGGGGTCAGCATTAGCGTTTCCCAAAAGGGGACGGGTGTGACCCTTCCAAGGGTCATGCTGACGCATTCCCTATGGTTCCACCAGTGGATCTTTTTTATTTAAACTTCCTGCTTGGGAGAAGAGCGTTTTGGTTCAAGTGATGGATGAAGAAAGAATAAACAAATAACACTGGGACAACACAACCACATCTTTCATGAGTTGAAAGATGTGGTTGCGTTGTCCCAGTGTTAATTGTTTATTCTTTCTTCATCCATCACTTAAACTTTCTCTCCCAGCATTATGGCTGCCAGGTATAAGAATATTATAAACGTTTTATGCGGGTGCGGAAACGTTTTAGTGCCCATATGTATATCTTTGTGGCTTAGAACGCAGCTGTGACAGCCCATTAGTGACCGAAGTTTAGATATGTCGAAGTAGATGCAGCCGTTTATTTGTGTTCTCGTCGAAATTAGAATGTGCCTGACGGCCAAGACATGGTTATGAAAAGAGGCTGGAAAACATTTAGCTGAAGTTTTCCATTTAAATTTAAGGTTTTATCATATTTGACAACATATTTGACAATGCCCGTACTCATTGTCCCATGAAGGAATAAAATATATTATATATTATCAGTCTGTGCAAGACTACCAAAGACTCATTTCGTACCAGCGGACGCCAAAGCTCCTTTGAAATTAACAAATAATTCACCTGTTCTTCATGGGGATAAACTCTGAAGGCAACAAACACGCGATCGCCGGAGTTCTACGTTTTGATCGCAAATCTTAACGGTCTCATCATCAGAACGACTTGTTTACTAGAAGCGATAGGATTGGGCAACAATCTGGTCAACGCGTTAACTGTGTTGAGAAACGTACAGTCGCCAAATTGTTTAATAATGCCACGCGAGCGTCGACCGCCGGGAAGGCCAGCGCTGTGCCGCGGAGAAATGTGGCGTCACGGGAGAGATTAGGCGCGTGCGCACAAAATTCTCTCCGGTGCGAGCGTCGTCTGCTAGGCTATTCTGTTGACTGCACACATAGCTCTTGTTCCTTATCTGCTGGCACAACTGACCGCCTTTAAGCAAAGATCTGAAGAGAGCTTGCTTGAGTGATACCGTGATACTGCTCAGGCATGAAAGAAACCGCTAGTCATCTCGTTTAACTTAGTGTTTTTTTAATTATTATTCTTTTATATTTTTTGTTTGCGTTTACTTTGTCAGCACAAAAAAAAAGAACAATACGGTGACGCGACAAGCTGAATGCAACGATGCATTAAACGATATATACCGCAGCCAATGCTACGAGCCATCAAAACCAATCCAGCGCTGTCACCCTGCACGTGACATCATGCTTTCACATGCACTTGTGCTTAACAGGAAGGCCACGTGACACAATCTTAGCGATGGACTGGCCAAGATGGCTCGTAGCGTCGGTAGTGGAAAATCGGCGCAACGCGCTCCTTTGCTGTGGAGCAGGGGCTGTGTGCGATCAGCGGAATAGCCTAGCAGACGACGCTCCCGGAAAGGGCTTTGTGCGCACGCGTATAATCTCTCCTGTGACGCTGCATTTCTCCGCGGCACGGCACTCCCCGTCCCGGGGGTCGACGCTCGCGTGATATTATTAAAAAATTGGGCGACTGAGCATCCGAATCACATGGGATCTATTACCATCATCCCGAAGGCGAAGCCTAGATTGATGTAAAACCACGAAACAACAAAATAAAACAAAACAAAAAACAACAACTAGGGAATAGAAAAATGCGCGCAGCAGTTCGACCCCAACGATCGTGGGATGTGAATAGCTTACCACGAAGAGAAGCGAGCTGTTCCAAGTTTAGTTCGACGTACTTACCACATCGCCGTATAATTTACGGCGTTTTCCACGCACTCTCCCGCAACAATTCGACGTGACCGAGCGATCGCGCAGGGCCCTCCGGAGCCCCTCACTTTTAAAACGGCCAGTGGCACACCGATGCAACCCGCCCACCCATCTTTTCTGCGCGGCACCCGCTCTCGGCCCAATTGAAAATATTCCCTGCGAATAGTCAATGCTAAGTACGCATCAGCTCGAAGGGACGCAAAGCAGAACCCCGGTGCCGCCTGCCAGAGAAGCGCACGCGTCGGGCGGGCGCCCCGGGCAGAGACATTCCACGTACCTGCCTCGTAGTAAAATGCATTCTTAATGGGATGCAGTGCAGTCGCAAACCGGCGCGGCGGCCCACTGTTTATTTGGGTGGCCAATCTTCCCAGGTAATTCGGAGAGGCCCGAAACAGCCGCGGGAACAGGACCGCCGGCTCCCAAACTACACCGCGCTGGGAGGGGAGAAGCGTCGGTTACGCGCGAGAGCACATTCGTCTAGTTTAGAGGCGGATTGAAGCGCGGGGAAATTGAGTTTCGATGGCGCTGGGAGTCATAGAAAGATACAATTAAAGCCCGCGAGCCCCGGAATAATTAAAGCGAGGGCGAGGGAAGCGGTCGCAGACGCGCCGGGGGGCCCGGGTTCTGCCGCTGCGGGGGAGGGAGACACCCCGGGCCCCCGAAGTGAACCCACCGCGCTCCGCGGTTCAGCCAGCTGGGGGCGCTCACGCCAAATCGATCTCGGGCCCGCGAAGGCCTGCTCTTCCCGACAGCGGCTGAGCGCGTTGATGTGCCCGGGGTGTCACCGTGCACAAGTCCGCTCTCGTATAGCACTTCCCTAAAAGCTGATCGCGCGAGGTGGCAGCACAGAACGCCTTTGCTCGGAAGGCGGGAGGCTGAACAACCCCATCTGTCTCAACCGCGGTAGAAAACCGTGTTTTTCGGTCTGTTTTCAGTCTCGGCTACTGGAGTCAATGAGACAGCTCAAGACACGTAGGGTATGGTTGACTCCCGAGCATCTCATTAACGCTCTGTAGCTAATAAGATTGCAGCATTCGCCGATAAGGATGACGAAGGACCAATCACAAAGCGAGAAGCGTGAACATTAATAAGCCACGCCCCGAATTTCTTCAGCTCTTGACTGCTTCCAACCCCTTTTGTGAGCATCTTAACTGTTACAGGAACATATACTGGACCGCGCTCGTGCCTTAGTATTAACCAGGGATGGGCGGTATTTCAAATACAAGTATTTGAAATACGTATTTCAAATACTTTGTGTATTTTGCATTTGTATTGAATTACAAATTGGGTATTGTATTTGACGTCTGTATTTAAATACTAAAACGTGGGTATTTCAAATACAATTGTAATTAAATACAATTTTGTGGGCGAAAATACATCCCTCAAATTTACTGTCACTGTCCAGAGCAGGAAGAAAACTACGTTCTGCACCGAATGCTGTGTCTCAATCAAGCACAAGCGTTTAGTGACTTTGTGATTACAGTGCTAGTGATGGCTAAATAAGTGCCTGTGACAACTTGTGAATGCCTAATAATGGCTAAATAAGTGCCTGTGACAACTTGTGATGCTTTCCAGCCTGATTTCCATCCATATGTTTGCCTGGAACATTCTAAACTCGCGGGTCGTCTAGATTTTCGTAACTGGTACTAGCTGCAACAATAAAAAATTCTCTAGCTAGTGCTGCGCGTCTTGGTCGTCTCGGTTCTTTGTTGGTCTGTACCCAAATGTAATTGACAAAAAAAGCTGCTTAAAGCTCTGTACTTTTTTCACCTATTACGTCCAAGCTGACTACATTTTTTTTTGTGATTATATTTCTATTACGTTACTAGAGCCTCGCACACTAACTCCCGACTGTGCGATGCAAAATTAAAATGAGATACCCAGAAACCCGTTAAAGGTGACCTGAAGTCGCTGACGCAAATTTTGAGGAATGTATTTGGAAAAGTATTTGGAGGAGACCAAATACATTTGGTTGTATTTGTATCTTGTACTTAAATGCTTTTTTGGAAATGTAATTAAATTTGTAATTAAATACATTTTTGACGAAGTATTTTGTATTGTATTTCGATACATATTTGCATGTATTTTGCCCATCCCTGGTATTAACTATTAAGTGGTGCAGCGCAAGACGCACTATAAAATGACGCTCGTCGCCAAATCCGCAGAGTCCTTGGAGAGCCAATTACTGCAGTTTACCAAGGGAGTTCGGCGAATGACCATGCTGAGGCCGAAAACTTATTTGGTACGAAGAATGAACGAAGTCCTTGATCAGGCAAGGTGAAGATATCTCCTCCCTTCGTTGCATTCACACTTTTTTACATATATATTTTTCTTTTATATTCTGTTGCTGTCTCACATTCGCCCGCCGCCTGTCCCAGCATAGCAAGGGCAATTTTATTGGGTTGTAATCTAAGTCAGAGTACAATCGAAGGCTCAGACAAAAGCAAACAAACGCATTTGTGTTTTTTTTTTTGCATAAACAAAAAAGAAACAAAGACGTTTACAAATCCCTGTAACGCGAAATTAGAGCGCAGCTCTTGAGGAGGAAGGGAGGGTATGCCCCTCCTCCTCTTCCGGACCCGCTCCTCCTCCCCCTCCTCTGCTTTTCGTCCTCCC